CCCCACACGTCGAAGATCTCTATCTCCATCACAAAGTGCATTGACATTTCATTCCTCTTGGAGATTGAACCTTGTCTTTGACATTGGTCACAAGCCTTGACCATTTGATTGGCATCATGATAGATTGAAGGTCAGGAGTAATGACATTCAAGAACCTTAGCCGCCGTTCGATTTCCTCCATGATGACCCCCAACTGGTGAGTCGTGGCATGCCTTTAGAATTGGCATAATCTCTTCTTCCGGAACACACCTTCTGATAATATTGTCAGCACAAACACGGAACAAGAATGGTTCCTCCCAATAGTATTGCCGGTAGTCTGTCAAAACTTATTCTTTTGATAAGATTCCAATCCTTCCGGGATAAGGTCACTAACTAGATAGTTAGCAATATCGACATACCAAGGAGCAAAAGTGCTAGATAGTGCCAATATGTGTTCATCCGGGAATGCATCGTTGATTTCAAGATCTCCCTTTTGTCTTCCTTCCTCTTCAAGCCTTGACAAATGATCCGCCACTTGATTTTGAGTTCCCTTACGATCCTTGACTTCAAATTCAAATTCTTGCAACAACAAGACCCATCGAATCAACCGAGGCTTTGCATCCTTCTTTGCCATGAGATAGCGAGAGCCGCATGATCTGTGTACACTATCACCTTGGATCCCAAAAAATAAGCCCGAAACTTCTCAAAGGCATAGACAATGACAAGAAGTTCTTGCTCAGTTACCGTGTAATTCATTTGCGCCCCATTGAGTATTTTGCTTGCATAGTAGACCGGGTAGAGAACTTTATTGTGATGTTGGCCAAGCATTGCTCCAATAGCTACACCACTGGCGTCACACATGAGCTCGAAAGGAAGAGACCAATTGGGTGTGACAATAATAGGTGCCGTGGTGAGCCCTTGCTTCAATTCCTCAAAGGCTTTGAGGCATTTCTCATCAAACACAAACTTGTTTTCTTTCTCAAGGAGTTTGCACATAGGATTTGCAACACTTATAAAACTCGGCATGCCCTAAGAAACTTTGAACACCTTTAACGGAAGTAGGTGGAGGAAGCTTAGAAATAATCTCGATCTTTGCCCGGTCAACCTCTATGCCACGCTTTGAAATTTTATGCCCCAACACGATGCCTTCATCCACCATGAAGTGACAATTTTTTCCAATTGAGCACAAGGTTGGTCTCCTCACATCTCTTAAGCACTTGTCTAAGATTGTTAAGACAATGCTCGAAAAGAATCACCTACCACTGAGAAGTCGTACATGAAGACTTCTAGAAAATCCTCTACCATGTCGGAGAAAATGGACATCATGCATCTTTGAAAAGTAGCCGGAGCATTGCATAAACCAAATGGCATCCGACTAAAAGCAAACGTTCCATAGGGGCAAGTGAATTTCTTCTTCTCTTGATCCTCCAATGCTATGTTGATTTGGTTGTAGTCGGAATATCCATCAAGGAAATAATAGAATGACCTTCCCACTAGCCGATCAAGTATTTGATCAATAAAAGGCATAGGGAAATGGTTCTTGCATGTGGCACTGTTGAGCTTCCGATAATCCATAAACACCCTCCAACCGGTCACCGTTCTTGTTGGGATGAGCTCATTTTTCGCATTTTCAATTACGGTCATGCCTCCCTTTTTTTGGCACACATTGCACCGGGCTCACCTAAGAACTATCGGCAATAGGGTAGACTACCCCAACATCCAACCATTTGATGATTTCTTTCTTTACCACCTCTTGCATTGACGGGTTCAACCGTTGTTGATGTTCTACACTTGGTTTGTTTCACTTTCCAATTGGATTTTGTGCTTGCAAATTCCCACGGGAATCCCACGGATGTCCGCGATTGTCCATCCAATGGCTTGCCTATTCTCCTTCAAGACTTCCAACAATTGTTCTACAGGCACATCATTCAACAATTAGACACGATCTACCACAATAGAATCACCCACCGGTGTAGACACATATATAAGAGCACTCAAAGAACCACTAGGCATGACCAGATACAGTGCAAAATAAGATGACACATAGGAGTATGTAGATCCTGGATAAAATAGAACTGAATCATCTCTACTACAAACTAGAACAGTACCTATGATAATTGCATCAGACGCCTTAGCCTCAAACCTGGCTAGAAGAGCATAACATTAGGGCTGGGCCCCACTCTGAGCTACATCTCTGGGACGACCTGCTACTGGTTGGCCTCCACCTCTAGCGGCCTGACCTCCATCTCTAATACCTCTCCACCTCTAGCTGGATGAGCGGGCTGTGGAACACTCGATGCCTGAACCATGGCACGGGAACCCTGATGCTCAGAGTTGCTTGATGCTCGAGGGTAAAATCTAGCAATATGTATGATATCGCCACAAGTATAACAAGTGCTCCGCTGTTGAGACTGCTGACCCTGTCGACCTGAATGACCACCCTAAAAACTCTAAAGCGGCGGTGCATTGATAGGATCTAGTGGTGCATTGTAGGACTGCTGATCAGAATACTACATATGAGAACCACTGCCACCTGAAGCACCATAAGAAACTTGAAGTGCTGACTAAAAAGGCCTAGGAGGATGGCCTCTACCATAAGAATCCCTGTCTCCAGACGAGGCACCACTAAATCTGCCTGAATGACGAGGCCTCTTGTCAGACCCTTGACCACCCCCCTATGATAGAACCATCTCAATTCTCCTGGCCATATTGACCGCATCCTAAAAAGAAATCTCTCTCCCCATATCCTTAGCCATCTGAAGTCGAATAGGCTGAATGAGTCCCTAAATGAACCTCCTCACTCTCTCCCTCTCGGTGGGGAGTATAAGAAGAGAGTGACGAGCCAAATCAATGAACCTTGTCTCATACTGGGGGACAGTCATAGAACCCTGCTGGAGACACTCGAACTGCCTCCGATAATTCTCCCTCTGAGTGATAGGAAGAAACTTCTCCAGAAATAGCTAAGAAAACTGATCCCAAGTCAAAGCTGGTGACCCAACTGGTCTAGCCAAACAATAATCTCTCCACCAAGTCTTGGTGGATCCTAACAAGTAAAAAGTAGCAAAGTCGACCCCATTGGTCTCTACTATCCTCATGTTCCTGAGAACCTCGTGATAGTTGTCTAAATAATCCTGGGGATCCTCAGAAGTTGCACCGCTGAAAGTGGTAGTGAAGAGCTTGATAAACCTGTCCAATCTCCACAAGGCATCAGTAGACATAGTTGCTCCATCACCGGTCTAAGCTACCACACTCGGCTGAACTGCTCCAACTAGCTGAGCTACTGGAGTCTGAAACTGGGGAGCCATCTGCTCTAAAGTGCAGGTAGCGGGAGTCTGTGCTCCTCCCTCAGCCTAAGAGGCGGTTGGTGCTACCAGAAGTAAGCCTGCCCGGGTGACACTCTCCATAAGGCCCACTAGACGGACCAAAGCATCCTGGAGTACTGGGGTATCAATGAACCCCTCTGGGACCTGAGTTGGGCCCACCGGAACTGCCTGGGCTGGAACCTGGTCATCAAACTCAACCTGAGGCTCCGCCGCTGGTGCTGCAGCTCTGGGCTGAGCTCTGCCCCTGCCTCGTCCTCTAGCACAGCCTCAGCCTCGCCCTTTACCCTCGTGGGAACTACTACTGGGGGCTAGGGCTGCTAATTAGTGGATGAGGAAGCGTGTGTTCTCGCCATCTGCGTAAGAACATAGTAGAAATTCAATTAGCATTGAGAAACCAAACTGCACGACATGAAAGAATAAATGTGAAGTTTTTTCTAACTCTGTAGCCTTTGGGGGATAAATACAGACGTCTCTGTACCGATCCCTCAGACTCTACTAAGCATATCCATGAATTGTGAGACCTAAGTAACCTAGAACTCTGATACCAACTTGTCACGACCCGAATTTCCTACCTTCGGGAGTCATGATGGCGCTTACTAGTGAAAGCTAGGCAAGCCAACCATTTGTATTATTTACCTTTTTTCCATTTTAATCCTTTAACAATTAAGAACCAACATTATGTAAATAGTGGAATTTAATAAGCGGAAGAACAAAATATAACCATTTAAATATTACCAATACAAATTCTTAAGCATACACTACCCAGAACTGGTGTCACAATTTCACAGATGGTCTAGGAATACTACAAATAAGGGTTCGAAAAATAAATACAACACTGTCTCTGAAATACATAAATGAAACAGGACGAAAGGATAGAAAGAGACACCAAGGCCTGCGGACGCCTGTAGGACTACCTCGGATCTCCGAATGGACTGAAAGCAGCAACCCAAAGCTAAGGTTCGTATGCTCCAGTACCGGGATCTGCACATAGTGCAGAGTGTAGTATCAGCACAACCGACCCCATGTGCTGATAAGTGCCTAGCCTAACCCCGGTGAAGTAGTGACGAGGCTAGGACCAGAATACTAAATAAACATGTGCAGTTAAACCATATACAACGGAAAATAAAAGCAAAACTTTAAATTAAAAATAGGAAAGAGGAATCATTCTACGAGGGAACTAGGAGTAGCAATAGAAACCAACATTTAAATGTAAAGAAAACGATAACTCAATTATTAACAAGAATCAGAAATAACAGACAAGTACACGACATCACCCTTTATGCTTTTACTCTCATCCTCACTATAAAATCAATAAATTCGGCACGACATCACCCTTTGTGCTTTTACCTTACATAATCATGGCACAGAATGATACTTAGTGCATTATCACTCATATAAAGGCAGAATTGTATATCGTGCGGCACAAAATCATCCTTCGTACATTAACACTCTCTCACAAAAATCATACACGGCATCATCCTTCATGCTTTAACACTCTCTCACAAAAATCATACACGACATCACCCTTCGTGCTTTAACACTCCTCCTTATCCAAACAACAATCACAAAGCAATAACGGAAAGAAAATAAATAAAATCACAATAACATCCCGGCAAGGGAGACAATATCATAATCCTCTTCTCTTTTCACATTTACTTCACAACTCAATTCACAACTTGAGCCAACGCTCAATAATATTCAATTGCCAATAATACTTTCACAAATCATTTTACAACTTGAGCCAACACTCTCCAATGTTACTTCCACAAACCTTGTTCAACAATAGAAATCATCACATAAGGCATGAACAATACAAAATGGAGTCACAATAATCATAGTATAAGACTCACGGGCATGATTGACACCAACGTATAGATACTCGTCACCATGCCTATACGTCATACTCAACAACTAGCACATAGCAAATAGGACATAACTCCTAATACCTCAAGCTAGGGTTAGACCAAACACTTACCTCGATGCCACGAATACAATTCAAGCCTCAACTACCGCTTTACCTCTTGTTTCCACCAGCAATTCGCTTGTATCTAGCCACAAATTACTTAACTATATCAATAAGTGCTAAATGAATCAATTCTAATGCATGAAAATAAGTTTCCTGAAGAAACAATTATTGGTAAAGTATCATTTGAGCCAAGAAATTTATACCTCAAGTGTGGTGGAAGTGGTTTGAGCTCTAGTTGCGGAGGTTCGATAATAGAAGGCTTTGCGGGTGGAGTGGCTATATTCTCCAAGTCGAGAGAGAGCTTTGCCAGAGCATAAGTGTAAGACCCAAGCCCATCCAATGCATTTACCGATTCCATATATCCCTCCATATCCTCACCATCAAAGTTTACCAAAATAGCCGCCAATGCTTCGCCGAGGCATTGTTCTTCCATTTTCATTTCAACCGCATCCTCTACTTTGTCAACAACATCGATCACTAAGATGCTTTCATACTCATGCGGTAGTTTCATACCTTTGCTTACTTGGAATGTAACCTCTTCATCATTCACACGAAATTTAATCTCATTCCGTTCCGAATCCATTAGTGCTCTTCCAGTGGCAAGGAATGGTCTCCCCAAGATGATAGGGATCTCTTTGTCAACCGCACAATCAAGGATTACAAAGTTGGCAGGTAAATGAAATTTTCCCACCTTCACAAGTACATCATCAACAATTCCCACCGGGCACTTGATGGAACGATCGGCCATTTGCAATCTCATACTTGTGGGCCTTGGCATACCTAATCCTGTTTTCTTGTAAATGGCAAGAGGCATCAAGTTGATGCTAGCTTCATTATCACAAAGGGCTCTTGCAAAAGTATGTAACCCAATGGTACAAGGAATGTTGAAATCTCCCGGGTCTTCTTTCTTTTGAACAATGGATGTTGCAATGATGGAACTAACCCGGTGAGTCACATTCACCACTTCATTTTTGGTGGTTTTCTTCTTGGTGATCAAATCTTTCAAATACTTAGCAAAACCCGGCATCTCTTGAAATGCTTCCACAAATGGAATATTCACCGATAATTACTTGAGAATGTCGTAGAACTTCTCGAGTTTGCTGTCATCAACCTTCCTAGCGAGTCTTTGAGGGAATGTAGGAGGAGGTCTAGGAATAGGTGGAAGAGTTTTTGGTGTCTCTTTTACCTTTTCCTTTGCCTCTTCTCGGTTCTCTTCTTGCACTTGCACATCTTCCGGAATTTCCTCAATTTTGACAACACTTGGCTCTTCAACCTCAACCCCTTTCTCGAACTCTTCTACCTCAACCACTTGTTCACCCTCTCCTTGTAGTACCTTCCCACTCCTAGTAGTAATTGCCATGACATGAGAAGTTGGTCCATTCCCACTACCCTTTGGGTTCGCAATTGTGTCACTAGGGAGTGTTCCCTTTTGCTTTGGATTTTGCTCCCTAGAGAGGTCTCTCATTTGCATCTCCAATTTTTGAATGGATGCGGTATCAGAGCCAACAAGCTCGATCGTGTTCCTCATAGAAGTGTCAGATATTTCTTGATTTTGCAGTACCCATTCAAGCATACTTTCCAACTTAGACTCACTTGAGGGACCTTGATTTGAATATTGACCCTTTGGGGGAACATAAGGGTTTGAACTCTGGTTTGAGAAGTTGTTGTTGCTGTTCCAATTTCCTTGGTTTAGCCACCTTGGTCATTTTGCCAATGTTGGTGGCCTTTCCCTTGCGGGTTTGGCCTCCATTGATTTTGTTGTCCTTGAACTTGGTATTGTTGCCTTTGATAGCCTCCTTGAGATTTGTTGACATAATTTGCTTCCTCAAAATCCTCATTTGATATGGGTTGCACATCCTCAACCATATTTACCTTCTTCGTTTGGCTTTCGGTGAACATCTTTGTCAACACATTAACAATTGTAGCAAGCCCTGCAATCATTTGATCTCTCTCTTGATTTTCCTTGATCATGTTTCTCAAGGAAGGAGAACCATATGTAATTCCACTTGTGGTATCCTCGGAATGCCATGCTTGATTATGCTTTGCCATTTTGTCAAGTATTTGTGTACCCTTGCGGATGATTTGTCCATGAAAGATCCGTCACCTGCATTCTTGGCTATAGATTGGTTCATAGGATCCAAGCCCATATAGAATTTCTCCAACAAAATAGAATCCAGAAAACCATGGTTGGGAGACCTCACCAAATATAATTTGAAACGATCCCATGCCTTATGTAGATGTTCTCCCGGTACTTGCTTGACAAAGAAGATTTTAACTCGGAGCTCAGACTTCTTACTTTGCGAGAACCATTTACACAAGAATGCTCGGACAAGTTCGGGCCAAGAATGAATAGAGTTTGGTGGTAGATTTTGAAGCCATTTCCTCCTGTCCCCAGCTAGAGAGTACTTGAAGTATCTCAACCTTAGGGCATCATCAGAGACATTGTTCTGCTTATGCATTGCACACACACCTAAGAAGTTTCTAAGATGTTGTGTCGGATCATCATCAGTGGAATTCCTAAGAAACCCCTCTGCTTTGAGCATAAGAATTAAACCATGTTCAACCTTGAAAGTTGCAGTGCCAACGACCGGAGGTACAATAGCAGTTGTATCCTCAATGTACTCCTCAATGTCTGCAAAAGGATTTTCTTCCATTTCTGCCTCCACGTCTTCACCATATTCGGACATGTTTTCCTATAAACACCAAGCAAAACAAGCAAAGTGTGATGGAATGGAATAAGACGTAAAGAAAAGCACACACTAATTAGTAATTTCAAAACCGTATTCCCCGGCAATGGTGCCAAACTTTGATACGCTCAAATTACACTTTAATAAATAGTGTAAGGCGTTCGGTGTCAAATATAATAACCCAACAAGGTTGGGGTCGAATCCCACAGGGAATAGGTGGGAAAAGGTTACTCGAATAGTGTGTTGCTCGACTAAAGTCGTAATTCTATCCAGTTAATGGTAACAAAAGTATGAATTGAGTTTGGTTTGAAGTAATAGCTAATTGTAATGTTGAGAATGTAAATAATTTGATTAAAGCAACCAAGGTTGTGTCCCCTTTAATGAAGTGTAATGATATCGGTGTTAATATGATATATTTCTAATGGAAGGTCCTTTTGATATGCAAATGATGCCTAAATGACTACCCAATATTTT